CTGTTGAAGGGAGGAGGGAGGGTTGAGTGAGAGAGAGAGAGAGAGAGAGAGAGAGAGAGAGAGAGAGAGAGATAATATATATGTATATTACCACCAGTACAGATTATTTATGTCCTCTTTACACACACACACACACACACACACACACACACACACACACACACACACACACTATTATAATAACAATATGAACTCCTAAAATTTACTTCACTATTAATTACAACGTAGTAGAAGAACACCTTTATTTAATACCGCGTCAACACAGTACAGTTATCACTTTATTTAGACTCAATTATTAACATTAATCTATATGTTGTTATGATACACCCTAACTACTGACTAATTACCCTGTTGTCTGATACTGTGGCTGTTTATTTTGTCGTTTTCATTTACAATATTTACTGTAAATCTTATTAATCATTTAAATGCTCTTTTTAATCCATTGGGTCTACAGACAAAAAGGGGTTTAAAGATCCTTTTTTTTATGACATTTTGTATTAATTTCTATTTATAAAAGTTGAAGGTAGACGACAATGGTCCATAACACACTGCCTTATGCACTAAATCCAATTCAATTACATGAAAACTTCGTAATATATCCTACACATTTTTAATCGTTATTTTCTCATTTATTTTTATATCAGTTAAAATATCTATCAATTTCAGGGAGTTACTTTTTTATTTTTATTGTTTTTTTTTTGTTTTTTCTCTTTGCTTTACTTCCTTTACTATTCTATAACTTGAAGGCGGGAGTAGACAACAACGACTCCCTGCCACTCCCTGCCACTCCCTGCCACTCCCTGCCACTCCTACAAGTCCCGGGTCACCTAAACCTCCAGTTATATTTGTTTGATTATTTTTACTCCTTCCCTTCCTCCCTCCCTCACTCACTCCCTCATCCCCCCCACCCCCTCTCCCTCTCCTCTCCCCCTACCTGTATTTTGCTAAAGCTCTAAAACCCGAAATCTCAACACACACGAGCTTGACTGACACCGTCACCATGTACCACCATCACTACATCCATAACCACCACCACTATCACCATCACTACCACCACCACCACTATCACCATCACTACCACCACCACCACCACACTAGCTGCAAAGGAGGGAGAAGGGATTTTGTCGTGTGTGGGTTTGTATAGACTATGTGTGCCTGATTGCCCCTGTGTGTGTGTGTGTGTGTGTGTGTGTGTGTGTGTGTGTGTGTGTGTGTGTGTGTGTGTTTATTAGGTGTTTTGTCCATACATTAAAACTCAGTATTATACCCGTGTCAAAGTGAGCTCTTGAACAATATTTCCATACAAATTAAAACTCTATCACTCGTTTTATGGCGGCAATATCTGTCATTTCGGGTTGTCAGCTTGTCACCTGTCCCAACAACCCGTCTTTCTGTCTGTCTGTTTCTCTGACCGCTCGTCTGATTGTCTCTGATTGTGTTTATTCCCATCAGAGCGATTTATGTGTCCGTGAGCTTGTAAACTGAGGTACATCCGTGTGACTCGTCTTTATATTTCATTTGGTTGATTTGTTTATTATTTTAGATATATTTCGACCATTATAGAGCACTTAGTTATCTCTGTTTGTTATCCAGTTATAGATAGATAGATAGATAGATAGATAGATAGATAGACAGACAGACAGACAGACACCAGGCCTCGGTAATACTCCTGCCAACACTCGTATCCAGGTTATTCATGTTGTATTGACGACTCACGCAGCCTTGACCATAAACAAAATCATCAGATTGGGCTCAACATAGTGTTGAAATTGGCCCTTAACGTGTGTATTTGATCGGTGTGAGCCAATCAGTAGTCAAAGCGCTGACAACTTCCATAACCGTGTTAATGGCGCACACACACACACACACTCACACACACGATACTGGCTCGTCCATCTCTCTCATGTACCTAAAACGAGTCCCTATAGATGTCAGGACGTGAACTGATAAGGAAACACTGCATGATCTCTATACCAGTTGTGTGTGTTACGGATAATTCAACTCGGTCGATAATATTAACATGTTTATTTTCTTAGTGTCTATTTGGACTCATCCAGATATTCATATAGGAATATTCCTGTGGATGAAAATATTACAAACTAAGTCTGAATATCATTACTTGTTTTGTCTTTTACTGTCTCATGGGATCCACTCTGAGATTTCCTTGCCTGCATGACAAACTCTAGTTGTGATGAATGTGTTTCTGCATCACACACACAGTAAACACTTTGTAACAAGGGACCAGCTATAAGGTATTAAATATATTATCGTATATGAATTAACGTTAAGTTTCTCTCATATTTACGTAACTATTGTTTAAACAGAACGGTGGAGGACATCAGTACACGGGAACAATAACCTAACCTTACCTAACCTAACCTTCCTAATGTAATCTAACCTAACCTAAATTCTTAAGTTATATTACACAATGTTATGTTATGTTATATTATGTTATGTTATGTTATGTTATGTTATGTTATGTTATATTATGTTATGTTATGTTATGTTATGTTATGTTATGTTATGTTATGTTATGTTATGTTATATTATGTTATGTTATATTATATTATGTTATGTTATGTTATGTTATGTTATGTTATGTTATGTTATGTTATGTTATGTTATGTTATATTATGTTATGTTATGTTATGTTATGTTATGTTATGTTATGTTATGGTATATTATATTATGTTATGTTATGTTATGTTATGTTATGTTATGTTATGGTATATTATATTATGTTATGTTATGTTATGTTATGTTATGTTATATTTATGTTATGTTATGTTATATTATATTATATGTTATGTTATGTTATGTTATGTTATAATTTATATTTATGTTATGTTATGTTATGGTATATTATATTGTAAACTTATATTATATTTATGTTATATTTATATTATGTTATATTTATGTTATATTATGTTATAGTATATTATTTTTATATTTATGTTATATTACATATTTATGTTATGTTATATTTATATTTATGTTATATTATATTTATATTATATTATATTTATGTTATATTTATATTTATGTTATATTTATATTTTCGTATATTTACTCATTATGTTATATTTATATTATATTTATATTTATGTTATATTTATATTGTATATATTTATGTTATGGTATATTATATTATATTTATGTTATATTTATATGTTGTATATTTATATTTATGTTATGTTATGTTATGTTATGGTATATTATATTATGTTATATTTATGTTATATTTATGTTATATTATGTTATGTTATATTATATATGTTATATATGTTATGTTATATTTATATTTATGTTATATTTATGTTATATTATATATATTTATATTTATGTTATGTTATGTTATGTTATGTTTATATTATGTTATGTTATGTTATATTATGTTATGTTATGTTATGGTATATGTTATATTTATGTTATGTTATGTTATGTTATGTTATGTATATTTATATGTTATGTTATGTTATATTTATGTTATGTTATGTTATGTTATATTTTGTATATTTATAGTATGTTATGTTATATTATGTTATATATTTATGTTATATTTATGTTATATTATATTTTGTTATGTTATGTTATATTTATGTTATATTTATGTATGTTATGTTATGTTATGTTATGTTATGTTATGTTATATTATATTATGTTATGTTATGTTATGCTATGTTATGTTATGTTATGTTATGTTATGTTATATTATATTATGTTATGTTATGTTATATTATGTTATGTTATGTTATGTTATGTTATGTTATGTTATGTTATGTTATGTTATGTTATATTATATTATATTATGTTATGTTATGTTATGTTATGTTATGTTATATTATATTATGTTATGTTATGTTATGCTGTGTTATGTTATGTTATGTTATGTTATGTTATGTTATGTTATATTATATTATGTTATGGTATGTTATGTTATGTTATGTTATGTTATGTTATATTATATTATATTATGTTATGTTATGTTATGTTATGTTATGTTATGTTATGTTATGTTATGTTATGTTATGTTATATTATGTTATGTTATGTTATGTTAGGTTCGGGTTTTATATCACTCGTCATCAACAGTTCTCTCCCAAACCACACACTAATGTTAACAAGGAAAGTCTCTCAGCTCAGGTTAAATTCACTTTTACCTAATGTTAATGTGTCATGTTATTACAGGAGGTTGTATGACGCCACCACATTCATTATTCATGTTTCATATTTACGCTCCCATAAACATTAAATATATTGCTTTTCTAACCAGTGTTTGTGTGTGTGTGTGTGTGTGTGTGTGTGTGTGTGTGTGTGTGTGTGTGTGTGTGTGATTAAAATTATCGTTGCCTCGGTGTTCTTCTTTTATAATTAGGACTCAGTTGCTCAATTAGTCTCAGAGCTCTTCAGTTATGCCTTGAAGTTCGAGTACGATTCTTTTAAGATTTCTTCTCTATCTATCTATCTATCTATCTATCTATCTATCTATCTATCTGTGACATATTTCTCTCGAGGATTTCAATACAGTTTTAAGATCTTGCTCACAGATATAAGTATAATTCTGGGCTCATGGAGACTCTTACATGCTCTTAATATTTACATGTGGTTTTTTTTCCCTGCTTCTCTCTCGTAATTATTTTTCATTTCCTTGAGTTACGTGAATTAGTTTATCATATCATCTCTTTCACGAATAAACTTATGCCTGAAAAATATAACTTTTATTTCGTGTTTTGTGTTTTTGTGGGAGTCGTATAGCAGTAAAAAATTGTCAAGAGAATATGTAAATTATTAATATTTTTTTTATTTTTTTTTTACTTTTGGAAACGTGTTTGAGCCCTTTGATAGCGATGCTTTAGTCCCTTGAGGATTATAGTAAAATGAGTTAAATCATAAACCATCGTCCTCTGAGGGTTAATTCGTATATACGGTACATATATGTGAGTTTATTACTGGCATCGTCTAGTTTTTCTCTAAGTGTTAGAAATTTGATGAGAAACAGACCTTAGCGGAGTCGTAAGTCCAGGAGCCGAACTTCATGTTGCACTTCTGGTCGTCGAAGGGGTACCAGGTGATGTCGATGCGGCAGGTGGAGAGGAAGATGCCAGGGGGGATATGGGTGCAGATGCCCTTGCTGTCCACCAACACATTAGTGGGATACGTGCTGGAGAACCCCTCGTCCGCGCTGGTAGGTAGAGAAGGAACAACACCCACGTTAGTCTGGGAGAAAACTTTGGCGATAAACAAAGTAATGTAGGATCAAAGTATTGATAAAGAGAAAAACTTTATTTAGTAAGTGAAACTCTCCTTGGGAAGAATAGCGGAGACCTACCTATCAAAACTCATCTATATCCTAGACAAACAGACCGTGGAACTCCATACAACTGTGTTCTTCCTTTGTTATATAACTTCCATCAGTTCAGATCATCGTTTCAAATAGGTCTGTCAACACCAAGTATTTACAATTAGTGTTATATTTAGAGCTAAAAAGGAACACAGCCCCCTTCCTCCTTACCTCCCCCTTACTCCCTCCTTCCCTCCCTCCCTTCCTTCCTTCCATTCTCCTACCATTCCACATCTTCCTTTCCTACAACCCTTCGTGCATTCCTTCCACCATCCCACCCCTCCCTTCCTTCCTCGCTTCCACCCTTCCCATCCACTTTTTCCTCTCACCTTTCCTGTTCCCATTTCCCTTCCATCAGTCCATCTTTCCTTCCCTCCCTCCAACCCCTCCTCCATTCCATCCTCCCACCATCCTACCCCTCCCTCCCTTCCTCCTATTCCTCCTTCCCTTCCTTCTCCCTAACCTTCCCTCCCACGACACGTGTTGACAACAAAAGAAACAGGTCTAATTCACACACACACAGCAGCAGCACGGGTCCCAGTAATAAAAGCACTGGTATATATCATTACCTGTCTACCAAGAATAAAAAGTTTAAGTATTTTTACAAACTGTATTCAATAATTTTACAGCCAAATACAAAAGAAGTGAAGTGTAAATATCAGTCCTCATACACACATACAGTATTGGGTTGTAATTTGTCATATTCATTATATGCTACAAAGTCCCTCCTGGCACTTTAGTATACCTCAAGATCACATCAAGAACGATCCTCAAAGACCACCACAAGGACCAAATCAAGACTACCTCAAAGACCACCTCAAGGACCACTTCAAGACCCACCTCAAGGACCACCTCAAGACTACCTCAAAGACCACATCAAGACCCACCTCAAGACCCACCTCAAGACCCACCTCTCTCTTAGTAAAAAATAATTCATCGAGTTTGTAATGATGGTCGTTGTGTTTGGTCCAGAGAGTCATTTTAGCGGTTCAGTGGGGGAATAATGACCTTTATGGTGTGTGTGTGTGTGTGTGTGTGTGTGTGTGTGTGTGTGTGTGTGTGTGTGTGTGTGTGTGTGCGTACCACCTCTCAACACCTGATATTACCCCTTAAAACTACACTACAGTTTAACCCAGATAAGGTCCACACTAACCCTCAGTGTAAGCCAAAGTGGTCCACAAGTTGAGCCTAAGAGGACCTTAATACATGTCCCGTGGTCCATTAACTGAAGTGGTCCACAGGGTAATGGTCCAGGGTGTTTATGGGACTTCTTACACGCCTACACGGTCCATAATGGGTTACGTGCTGGGCAGTGGGTGGTGGGTGGTGGGCGGTGGGTGTACAGTAGCTAGATGGTAGGTTAATGAGGGAGGCGGATGATCACAGAGGCTGGACGGGTCACCTGGGCACATACACAAGGAGGAGGAGGAGGAGGAGGAAGAAGAGGAGGAGGAGGAGGAGGAGGAAGTGGAGGAGGAGGAGTAGGAGAAGAAGAAGGAAGAGGAAGATGAGAGTGGTGCGATGAAAGAGCTCTTATGTCATGCTTACAAACACTGAGAAATATTACCTACACTGAGAAATATCACCTACACTAAGAAATATCACCTACACTGAGAAATATCACCCACACTGAGAAATATCACCTACATACACTGAGAAATATCACCTACAAACACTGAGAAATATCACCTACAAACACTGAGAAATATCACCTACAAACACTGAGAAATATCACCTACAAACACTGAGAAATATCACCTATATACACTGAGAAATATCACCTACACTGAGAAATATCACCTACAAACACTGAGAAATATCACCTACACTGAGAAATATCACCCACACTGAGAAATATCAACTACAAACACTGAGAAATATCACCTACAAACACTGAGAAATATCACCTACATACACTGAGAAATATCACCTACATACACTGAGAAATATCACCTACATACACTGAGAAATATCACCTACTCACAAACACTGAGAAATATCACCTACATACACTGAGAAATATCACCTACAAACACTGAGAAATATCACCTACACTGAGAAATATCACCTACACACTGAGAAATATCACCTACATACACTGAGAAATATCACCTACAGAAATATCACTACATACACTGAGAAATATCACCTACATACACTGAAATATCACCTACATACACTGAGAAATATCACCTACAAACACTGAGAAATATCACCTACAAACACTGAGAAATATCACCTACAAACACTGAGAAATATCACCCACACTGATAACCACTAAACCCTTGACGTCATCGTCCAGTCCTCCATCCTTCCCCCTCACATCCCCTCCTCCATCCTCCCCTCCTCCATCCTCCCCCCTCCTTCCTTCCCCTCCCCCCCCCCTCCTCCCGGTTCCTCCAAAGCTTAACCATGCGGGCAAAAAAAAAATAGTCAAGGTGAAACCGAAAATAATGGCTAAAAGGGACAGAAAAACAAAAGTTGGAGGTTGGACTTGCCGAGATGTATTTACATTTATATTAGTAAATCATGAATACAACATAAGTAAGGGGCAAGGGAGAGTAAGTTTAATATTCTGGTCTGTTTGTCTGTCTGTCTGTGTGTCTCATTCTGTCTTCCTGTCTCTGTCTCTCTGTCTGTCTCTGTCTCCCTTTCTGTTTTTTTTCCTTCCTACCTCTGCCAGATATCTCTTGATTTCAGAGGTGGATAATCTTGGAAAACTTGAGACCAGAGACCGGAGACAGAGACATCAAAACCGTCTCGGAAGGGAAGACTTGTCTCTGAAGGAGGAGAAAGAGGAGGAAGAGGAAGAGGAGGAAGAGGAAGAGGAGGAAGAGGAAGAGGAGGAAAGAGGTGTGGTGGGGGGGGGGGTGGGTCTTTCAAGGTTAAAATGAAAGCTTGGGAGCCTAGGAGAGATATACTGTAGTCTTGAGAGAAGTTTTATAGAAATGGCTTTTACCGAGAGTCTCAGTCTTAGGTCAGTCTTCAATCAGTCTTATGTCAGTCTTAAATCAGTTTTAGATTAATCTTAGTTCATTATTAGGTAAAATTTAAGTTAGTATTAAGTTAATCTTGGGTCAGTATTACGTCAGTCTTGGGTCAGTATTCGGTCAGTCTTACGTCAATCTCAGGTCAGTATTAGGTCAGTCTTAGGTCAATCTTAGGTCAATCTCAAGTCAGTATTAGGTCAGTCTTAGGTCCATCTTAAGTTAATATTAGGGCAAACTTATGTCAATCTTAGGTCAGTTTGCGGTCAGTCTCTTCAGGTTATAAAACAGATACTTGGCGGAAAAGAAATTCGGTCTCTGAGAGCAGGTGCACTTGAAGGCTTGTCGCGGTATTGCGGGAAGGGGTGGGGGGGGCTTTGAGCTGCAACCTGGAGGGGGAGGAGATGTCATATTTTCTGGGTGTTTCTGTTCAATCCAGTGAGCTTTATTATAAGAGTGACAGGTCTCTTAAAGAGAGGTCTTTTCGGGGTTCGCTGACCCGATACTGCTTTTTGGAATCAGTGTGTCTGTGTGTGTGTGTGTGTGTGTGTGTGTGTGTGTGTGTGTGTGTGTGTGTGTGTGTGTGTGTGTGTGTGTGTGTGTGTGTGTGTGTGTGTGTTTGTGGGTGTGTGTTTGTGTGTGTGTGTGTGTGTGTGTGTGTGTGTGTGTGTGTGTGTGGGTGGTGTAAATAAGACGTTTATAGTATGTCTATGGGCCATAAACATCAGAACAATATATATATTCCAACATACCGGCATTTAATGTCTAACCATCATCTGACTCTCAAAACTATTTTGTATATATGTAATGAACTGTGACAGAATCCAGCAGAGAAAAGAAATATTGAATCAGGCTTTTAATGAACGCTCGGAATGTACGCGCTAAATTCTTTGAGAAATCAGGGAAACCGGAGAAGTTATTTTGTCTTCATTATTGACAAAGAATGTTAATTTCACAAAAAGGTTTCATATGAACAGCGAGAAAATGGTAAAATTCTCCGAGAAGTAAGACCCAATGACACCATTCCCCTTAAGCTATTTACAGTAGAAGTGTAAGAGGTTTGTAAACGACCACAATTGGACTGAAATTGGTTCAGATACCAAGGAGGTCAACTTAAACCATTTACAGTACATTCTGCTGATCCTACTTTATTATTGGCATTAAACCCAACACAAAAAAAGTCTACGATTGCAAACATTAACTCAAATCAGCAAGAGGATTAGGTTGAATATAAACAGGCAGATCATAAGTAAGACTCAAACAAGATGAAAAGTTGTCAGCTTAGAAAATTCAACACTGAAAGCCTGAGGAAGTTAATGAATAAAACCTTTATGAACAACTGTTGTCATGGCGAGACCTTTGGAAATGTAACCAACGTAAACAATGACAACATTCTCCTACTGCCATTATTAGACATAAGTTAACATGACCATTTAATGCATAAATAATAAAGTCATAAATAATAAAGAATCCTTAAACAACATACAGAGATAAACACATCCTGAACACAAATAAGAGACATCATTAACGAGGGGTGAGGAAAAAGAGAGATCAGAAGACATAAGAAGACACGACAAACAGTGGACCAAGGAGATGCTTAATTGGACCCAGCGAGACACCCAGACAAGGAACAGCTCCTCACAGATGACTCTCAGTCGACAGGGAAGGTACAGGAGGGAAGAAATAAGACTGTGGTGGTATATATATGTGTGTGTGTGTGTGTGTGTGTGTGTGTGTGTGTGTGTGTGTCTGTGTCCGAAAATCCGTATAAAACTATTGAGGAAGAGAGTGAGATGGAGAAAAACAGAGAGAGAAAGAAAATATAACGAGAGGAAGAGACAGAAAGAGAGAAAA